CCTGATATTCCAACAGTCCATCTCTTAACTCTACAGTATTTCCTATGTTTAATAAGAAAACAAGACAGTCAATACATCTTATTCGATGTAGCATCAGTAACCAATAGAAGTCAAGTGAGAAAACAGGTCATAGTAATTAACATGAAAACTGTGATTTATAAAAACATGCTACAAACTTTTAAGAAGGTTACTTTTCTGGCTATATGAGTGCAAGTCACAAACTCCACAGTTCGCAGATACAGGGTATTGAAATTATGTCAAATGAAGTTTCATGTACATCGTAATCATTTCCATATTCACGGCAATATCCAGACATAAGAGTAATAAATAAGATTTAGATATCATCACAGGTGCAGCAGTATAATTGTCAAGCTTCTGACAACTACTTGACAATTCTTTGAAATTCCCAAGCATAGATAACCGGGGACCTCAAGATTGTTTTAACATATAATGACTTGAACCTGGTCTACAGATGCTAAATCAAAATTGCCCCTACATTTAAGCCTGTAACACCTCTTACCTCTTAAAGCAAAAAGTTGGGGTGAAAACATGGTTCCAGATTGTTACGCTGCCAGAACGTAAAACTAAAGAAGAGAGAAACCTGGCTACTTTAGAATACTTTTGATGCCGGAAATTACGTGCAGTTATTTGGTTATGAAAAATATTACCGCCATGAATAATGGCCAGATGGTGAATGCAGAAGGTCGAAAAATTTTACTCTGCTACAGTTAAATCAATCCTCTGAAAAAAGGTAGAGGAAGACCAAAGAAAACACTCAATGAGATTATTGAAAAGGACCTCTTGGTTGATAATTTATCCAAATATTTGGTTTTTGATAAAGCTCAATGGTATTGTGTGATCTATGTAGCCAATCATGCCTGGCAGGATAAGGTTTCTTCTTGTTGTTGTAGTTGCAGAGTTAAATCAAAGATAAGGAATATATTTTTATGAAAAAGATAAAACGACCATAAACTTTACAAGGCAAAGGATGTGTTCAGAGTTTCTTTAGACGTTCCCAAAGGTGACTTTCATCTACTTCAAAGAAATAGCATAATCTATTAGATACCATCACCAGAAGCTGACCAAAAGAAATTGGCAACCTGAAATTCACCATATGCAGATTTCCATTTGTTTTCAATCCGAGTCTCTCCTTCAACCTAGCAATAACCTGCAAAAATTGAATATTCCATATCCTTTAAAACTCCATGATATTGCTTTGCTTACATCCTTAAAAGTAAAATTATGAGCACCATTATCAATGGTCAGTACATAATAACATAGTCAACAGTGAGAACAGTAAAAAGCTTCCTGAGTGAGCTGAAGAAATCAAATAAAGCCACCATACTCTGGAGGGACAGAGACGATAAACTCACCTCAAACTTTCAATTTCAATTTAAAATCTATCAGTAGATGATATTCTATACATGATTTACAGTAACAAAGAGCTAGCGTAAAATAGCTTCAAGAATTTTGTACCTCATCCTCATACATTATGTTCGTAATGAAGCCTTCTTCTTTCAACCTGTCTACTTGATAGACTCCTTCATTTATGAAATTCTCAATCTCTTCTCTCTTTTTTCCTGTACAAATTTGGCAGAAGTCTATAAGTTAATTAATCACTTCAAGGTTTAATTACAGCTTCAAATGAAGGTGAACCTCTTGAAGAAGAGACTTATCCAGCCAATTTGCATAAATATTGTCAAGCAGTGCAGTCATCATCTCACAAGTTTCTTCAGACATGGTTCTACGAGTAAGCTGATCCCCCGCACTCTTGTATTTCCCAATCTTTTCAACTTGAGGTTCAATACCTATGTTATCTAAAACACCTGAAAAGAGGGGGAAAAAAACAAATTATATAAAAATAAATATTTGATCCACGCTAAGTGTAGAGATATGATATGATATGTAAATATTATGTAATTATGATTAGAATTTGATAGGATATGATATTATCATAATGAGCCATTAATGCAGAGGCTCCCCTCACTTATATATATATGTGTATATTCTGATCAATGAAATACAAGAAAATTATTTTCCATATTCTTTTTCCCACATGGTATCAGAGCGTGCGACCCTTTTCTTCTCTGGCTGTTTATTTTCGGTTGCTACAGTACCGAAAATAAACGTGTGAGTGTGTGACCCTTCCACGGAGCCGTTTTGAGTGACACCGCCCTGACTAAACGTCTCCCCTCCTCCAGATCGGCCACACCTCGACGTCCGAAGGCCATCTGACCAGCGTGTGATCATCACACGCCACCTGCAGCTTCGCCGGAGATTTATGCGCCGGCGAGTGAGGGCACGTGGGACGTCCATTTCACCGGCGACCTCAACGACTGACGGCGACTCCTGTTTTCCGGCGAGATTGCGATACCTCCTTGGTGTGGGTACGGCGTTGGCGTACTATTCATTGATTTTCCAATGATCTGCACTATTCATCCACGTTCTGCACTGTTCATTGGCCTTCGGCACTCTGTTTGTGTCATTTGGCTCTGTTTGCAGCTCCCTGTGTAGCTGTTGGCCTGTTTTACTACTTTGGTATTTGTTAGGTGATCCAGGTATCGTGCTTTATGTCCTTGTGTGACAATCTTTCGCATTTCTTTTGTTAGTGCACTTCGTCTATGGCTGAAACTAAATTTGTCTCGGAGCTTGTCCCAACTATTACTAAAATTACTGATCACAAGTTGACTTGGTTAAACTATTTGGATTAGAGTAAAACCATTCGTCTCTATTTGCGGAGTATTGAGAAGGAAGACCATCTGACCGATGATCCCCCAACAACTGATTCAAAGAAGGCCTAGTTAAGGGATGATGCACGGCTATTTTTTTAGATCCGTAACTCTATTGACAGTGAGATTATTCCTTCTATTAATCACTATGAATTGGTTAAGGAACTAATGGATTATTTAGATTTTTTGTATTCAGGAAAAGGAAATATCTCTCGTGTTTACGAGGTTTGCAAAGCTTTCTATCGTTCTGAAAAACAGGATCGCCCTCTCAAAGCCTACTTTATGGACTTTAAGAGGATGTATGAAGAGCTGAATGTATTGATGCCTCTCACTGCTGATTTGAAGGTTCAGCATAAGCAACGGGAGCAGATGGCTATTATGAGCTTTCTTACTGGTCTCCCACCTGAGTACGACACAGTTCGCTCTCAAATCTTATCCGGATCTGAGATTTCTGACCTTCAAGATGTGTTTTCTAGAGTAATGAGAGCTGAGAATCTCTTGCCACCAGCTGCTAGTACTCCTACAAGTGCCTGGCTCAGTAAGGGCCCCTATGAGACTCGTAGTCCCAGTGATAACCGCGGGGGTTCTACCCGTGGTGGTTCAAAGCAAGGGGGAGCTCCTTCTGACTCCAACGAGATAGTGTTATTACCACAAAGAACCGGGGCATACAAAACGCACATGTCGTAAACTTTAGAATAAACAGCAACGAAGTAACTCTGCCCACGTGGCTACACAAACCAGTGACACAGTCCCGATTTCTGCCGCTGAGTATGCCCAGTTAAAATCTGCTACGCTGTCTGTGAGTGCCGCGGCTACAACAGGTAATAATGCTACTGCCCTTGCTTCTTCTTCCTCAAAGTGGATCATAGATTCCGGGGCTACTGATCATATGACAGGTAATCGCCATCTCTTCTCCTCTTATAATGCTTTTGCTAATCAGTCAAGTGTTTCTATCGCTGATGGTTCCCGGTCTCAAGTTCTCAGTTCTGGCACTGTTAATCCCACACCCTCTATCTGTTTGTCATCTGTGCTAAATGTCCTTAAACTTGCTTTTAATCTCCTATCTCCCAGTAAACTCACCCGTCAATTAAACTGTTGGGTCTCACTTTTTCCTTCTCATTGCTTGATACAGGATCTTTTGACGAGGTGGATTATTGGTAGAGGTTATGAATCTGGCGGGAACTATATACTGGATGATCGAGTGTCTCATGCGGTAGCTTGCACTAGCTTTGAAGTTCATCGTCGATTAGGTCATTTGTCTTTATCTTCTCTTAAGAGAGTTTATCCTCAATTTTAGCATTTGTCGTCTTTAGATTGTGAGTCATGTCAGTTTGCCAAGCATCATCGTCTTCCCTTAGTGTCTCGTGTCAATAAACGGGTTTCATCCCCTTTTGAGTTAGTCCATTCTGATGTTTGGGGTCCTTATCCTATAGAGTCCAAAGCAGGTTTTAAATACTTTGTTACATTTGTTGATTATTATTCCCGAACAACTTGGTTATATTTAATGAAACATCGTTTTGAATTGTTTTCCCATTTTTGTGCCTTTTTGCTGAGATTAAAACTCATTTTAATGTTTCTATTCGCACCTTACGAAGTGATAATGCTAAAGAATATCTCTCTACTTCATTCCAATCTTACATGCTTCAAAATGGTATACTTCATCAATCGTCTTGTGTTGATACACCAACTCAAAATGGTGTTGTAGAAAGAAAAAATCGTCACCTACTTGAAGTAGCACGTGCACTTTTGTTTCAAATGCAGGTTCCTAAACCATTTTGGGCTGACGCGGTCTCCACTGCATGCTTTCTTATTAATCGAATGCCTTCCTCTGTTCTTGATGGTAACTCCCTTTTTTCTACCCTCTTTCCTTCTAAGCCTTTGTTCCCTGTTGATCCTAAGATATTTAGGTGTGTTTGTTTTGTGCGGGATGTACGTCCATCTATTTCAAAGTTAGACCCCAAGTCTCGTAAATGTGTCTTCCTTGGATACTCTCGAGTCCAAAAAGGTTACTGTTGTTTCTCACCTACTCTCAATCGTTATTTAGTATCTGCAGATGTCACCTTTCAGGAGTCCACACCATATTTCTCGTGTTCTTCCCCACCTGCTCCACCTGCGGAGGAGGATGACATTCTGATGTACTCTGTCACTTCACCATCACCATCGTTGCACGCATCCGCTCCTGCACCCGTTCAACCATTTGATTGTGTGTATACACAACGGTCAAAGGAGATTACTACCGCCATGCCAACTTCTATTCCTCCCTTGTCCGCTTCGCCATCGGATCTTGAGTTGAGCAACACTGAACCTTGTTCTGACCCTAATCCTGAGACACCTCTTGTTCCAGACCCGGATGCCTCTCTTGATCTACCCATTGCCCTTTGCAAAGGTAAACGTACTTGTGCCCATCCTATTTCATCTTTTGTTTCCTATGACCACTTGTCTCCTGTGTCCAGTTCCTTTGTTGCCTCCCTAGATACTATCTCTGTGCCCAGAACTATTCATGAAGCCTTGGCCCACTCGGGTTGGTGTGCTACAATGGAAGAGGAGATGGCGGCCCTTGATCATCCTGGTACATGGACCCTGGTCGATTTACCGGCAGGCAAAAAGGCCATTGGATGTAAATGGGTGTTAACTCCGAAAACTAAAGCTGACGGCACACTTGACCGCCTTAAGGCTCGCCTTGTGGCTAAAGGTTATGCACAGACCTATGGCATTGACTATTCCGAAACCTTTTCTCCTGTTGCTAAGCTCTCATCTATTCGTCTGTTCATCTCTCTGGCTGCTACTTATGATTGGGATCTACATCAGTTAGACATTAAAAATGCCTTCTTGCATGGTGATCTCCATGAAGTAAGCACCTGGGTTCGTTGCTCAGGGGGAGCGTGGGAAAGTATGTCGCCTTAATGTATAGTTTGAAGCAAAGTCCTCGTGCATGGTTTGACCGGTTCAGTACTGTTGTACAAAAATTTGGCATGAGCCAAAGCAAGTGCGATCATTCTGTATTTTATCAACGAATAGCGGCTGGCATAATTCTCTTGGTGGTGTATATAGATGACATTGTGATCACAAGCAGTAATGGTTCGGGCATCTCGTCCCTCAAGTCCTTTCTTAATTCCCACTTTCAGACGAAGGATCTGGGCTCTCTAACATACTTTCTAGGTATTGAAGTTATGAGAAGCAAGAAGGGCATATTACTGACATAGCGCAAATATGTTCTTGACCTACTGAAGGAAAGTGGAAAGTTGGGAGCAGCACTGACTAATTTTCCTACGGTTCACAACCCACTCCTTGACGCTGATGGGAGCATACCACTCGATGACTCTCTTGATGATGAGAAACGAATGCTTGAGGCTCAAAAGAGCAAACCATTTGAGAATCCTGAGAGGTACAGGAGAATGATTGGCAAGTTAAACTATCTCACTGTAACTCGTCCGGATATTACTTATCCAGTCAGTGTACTAAGCCAGTTCATGGCATCCCCGACTGTCAGACAGTGGGAAGCCTTGGAGCACATGTTACATTATTTGAAGGGATGTCCAGGTCGTGAGATATTATACAAAAATCATGGCCATACAGACATTGAGTGCTTCTGTGATGCGGATCATGGTGGATCAAAGGCCACGAGACGGTCTATTACAGGATACTGTGTCTTTGTGGGTGGGAATCTGGTATCCTGGAAAAGCAAGAAACAAAATGTGGTGTCCAGATTGAGCGCAGAGGCAGAATACCGAGCTATGGCACAGTCTGTATGTGAGATAATCTGGATATATTAGCCACTAAAGGAAGTTGGCCTCAAAACCACTTTGCCAGCAAAGTTGTGGTGTGACAATAAGGCTGCCCTACATATAGCCTCTAATTCTGTGTTCCATGAACGTATCAAACATATTGAGATTGATTGTCACTTTATCAGAGACAAGCTTAAAGAGAACTTCATCTCCATTGGATATGTGCGTTCTAGTGATCAATTAGGCGACCTTCTAACTAAAGCTCTGAATGGGACTCGTGTTGACTATCTGTGTGACAAGTTGGGCATGATTAACATTTATGCTCCAACTTGAGGGGGAGTGTAGAGATATGATATGATATGATTTGATATGTAAATATTATATAATTATGATTAGGATTTGATAGGATATGATATTATCATAATGAGCCATTAATGCAGAGGTTCCCCTTACTTGTATATATATGTGTATATTCTGATCAATGAAATATAAGAAAATTATTTTCCATATTCTTTTTCCCACACTAAGGAATAGTCATCAAAGGACACCAGAAGTTGGAGAGTTTATCTTGAGCTCTCTTAGAAAGAAAAATGCTTTAAAACCAACCAAATCATGAGATGATGCAAAAGCATTAAAATAATATTGAAGCAACTAACATTGTAGGGGTAAGGGTAATATGTACCAATTTACTGGAAAGACATATTGGCACCAATTTTATGAATAGGTTATATAGCAAAAAGCATAAATTGGTGGTGCCAAACTTTAATTTGAACTATATAAACCTACCTGCTGAAAAACACGTTAATGAATAACAACAAAACTGGAATAACCACCAAAAGAAGAGACATACAACTAATTCTTTTACAAGAAGGATCTGCCTACATGCTACTCCCTCCGGTCAATGATAAAAGACGTTAGTTAGGTTTTCTCACAAACCAAGAAACATTAGTTAAATCATTAAATATGTTTTAAATTGATAAAAGTTACATATTTTATCCTTATTAAAGAATGTGACTGGAAAGTTCTTTCCTCTCTCCCCTACATTTAATTCTCTCCTCCTTGTAACAAAGGGTAAGAGTGGAAAACTGTCATTAATTACTATGTAAACCTCTTATATTTTGGACCAAAATTTTCTTCTAAAATACTTGTTATATTATGGACCAAAGGGAGTATATGCAAATTGCAGACTTTCCTAAAGGAATCATATTGCAGATAAGAATCTGTGAGTTTTAATACGCAATAGATGCACAAGGTCAGCCATAAGTAAAATTCTATTTTAATTATTGAAACCAATTCCCCAAACACCTCAAAAGAAAAAGGGACAAATTAAAACTCAAAGGTCTACTATCTTGACTCAAATCTTGTAAATAGGCACGGAAAAGCAAAGTCAGCTTACCTCTGAGGAACGATGCTTGAACGGTGAATCCAAACAACGAAAAATAAGCACTTGGAGGGGCATATATTTCTTCACATGCACATGCAAGATAATATTCTTTTTCTCGGCACGAAGGGACATAAGCCACAACAATTTTTTCTACAAAAGGAAACAACCATCAGAACTTTTCATGAGGATCAAATATTTTTTGTAATGGTTAAGTTTTTGCCTGAGAAAAGGAGTATTACAAATAACCTTGAAGATAAGTAATTCATCATAAATTACAGACATATAAAAACCATGTAAGAGATCCCAATAAAAAGCATATGGGACCTTCACTTAGTAGCTGAAGAATATGGAAGGGATATGTTATTCTCAACTTTCTTTGATCAAGCTCCAAAAACATAATCCTTCCCAACTACATTCTTCATCGAAAAGTAAAAATTCAACACATAGTATAGTGAGCATGAGTTTTGCCCGTGGTACAAGCTGAGAAGGCCTTCAAGTGAGAATGTGTTAAAGGGATCAATAAATCAAGCTAGGGTTTTTCCAAATTACAACCTCAAAAAGTTTCATGTGAGAATTAATTTTAGGGAAAACAAAATAAAAACTCAAAACATGGGATGTTGGCATGTGTTTTGCCCATGGTTCAAGCTCAAAAGGTTTTTGTGCTTTGTGCAATTTTGAAGCATAGAAAGCTTTCATGTGAGGTCAGTGATGGATATATTGGCTAAATTAATCTTGGATCTTCTCCTCGTATCTTAAACTTTATGATGAATTGATCATCCACATAACTGTCAGCCATATAAGACACCATTCAAGCATTATAACTTTATAGTCATGCACAGGCAATCAATCAAGCAACAGCCAATCCGATGCAGCCAGTCCTTACAACCAAGAGTCCCATGATCAACCTGACTTGTGACGAGTCAACCCTCATTCATTATTCATACTTATAATGAAAGTCAATTTTTGGTAAAGATTAAATTAGGAAATTAAAATTTTTTACAAAGGGTAACTAGGTACCTATCTATCAATATCAGCCAAAGTCAAACTAATAGAACTCTCAAAGACAGATGAAAACTCATTTTGGATTGAAAGCTGATTTTTAACTATTGATAGGAAATTCGGCACAAAAGTTAAGTTGATGTAGAAACTAACTGTATAGTGTTTATATAGGGCAATCCTATATAGCACAAAAAATCTTACATTTCTGCGGTAGTGTTTGGATATTTCTCCATGCCTTTATCTTCTATATAAAAACTGTAACACAGGCACAGAGCTGAACATACCAGATCTTTTGAAATTCAATATTTGCCTTCGAATTTCTTCAACTTTAGCCCATCCACAATTCAAATTATCAATATGGAGATAGATACCAGAAATACGAGGATCATATGCTGCTTTTGAAAAGTTCTCACAAATTTGAGGTAGAGATAGTCCTTGAGAGAAAGGACTCTTGAGCTGCTCAGATATCTGAACATGTGAATGAACAGAGCATTGTCATTTGTCAACAAAAAAAGACTTTCTTTTTTTTTTTTTTCCCCCCTCGCAAGCTTACCCAGCCATAAGCAGAAGAGACATACAAGTAAACGAGAATGTCTTTTGCCTTTTTCTTTTTTTATATGTATAAAATCTGCTAAATTGTTTCCTTGAAAAATATATATCTCTCTGCGCTCTAGTCCTTGATTTTTTTTCTTTATATAATGAATCTCTCAGAGTTCGCAACTCTCTATGGGTGTCTATTAAATAATCCCAGAGGAGTAAAAGTACAATTTGATCCTTGAAAGGAGACTAGCATGTAGCAAGTTCTTAAGTTTGACCGCCTGATTCTGGGATGAGTAAGAGATATAACTTTGAAGGACCAAACTCTTTATTCTCTGAAAAAAGTAAATACCATGAAAATAGCTAGCTAAAATTAATATCCTTCGCTGAACAAGACCTTGAGGAATCCAAAAATTTCAAAATCTGCAGCGAAACCTCGAATTCAACTCCCCAGTAAATAAACCATAGATAGGAGAAATGAGAAATATCATTAACTTATGAAGAAAACGCCCAAGTCAATCCACCACTTGCAAAGAATAACCAAAATACTCTAAACATATGAGAAAGGATGAGAAGGATACCCGGCCTCGCAGCTTCATTGTGAGAATGCTTCCCCTGCGAACACCCTCCAAAGGGAATGCAATGAGCGTCTTGAGCTTCAGAAGAAATTTACTCCAACCAGTGGTGGGCGCAAAATCAAAGTCACCCGTCGGATAATCCTCGTCAGCAAATCTGACACTAGAATTATTAATGCCCCCGTCAGGCCTGGGCTCCTTGTCAGCCAATTCTTGTTTCAATTTTGAGTCGAAAGAATAGGAAGAAGAATGGAAGGCAACGAGTGACAGGAGAGCGGGGGACTGAAAGGGTGGGAAAAATTGGGAATGAGACGGAGGAGAAAGGTGGAGGCGGCATTGAAATGGGAAATGAGAAAGAGGAGCAGAGAACGAGGAAGAAGATGACAGAGTCGCGACAAATGCAAGGGAACCCCGAATGGAGCTGCCACGAGAGCTGTGGAGAAGCAGCTTCCACATTTCTACGATCACTGATTACTACTGTGCATTTCCGGGCGATCGACGTCGGCTCTTAATAAGGGACGTCAGTGTTTTTTTTTTCCTTCCGGGTGAAAGGGATGGTATGGGCATATTTCACTGTATATATGTGACAGTGGTATTTCTTTCTTCCTCTTGAAACGGATCCATCTGCCCCTTTCATTTCATCTCATCTTTAACCGATTCTGGTGCAATGTGAACATTTTATATAATTAAATAATTAATAAAAAATTCCAATATTCAACATAAGGTTCATCAAAAAAAAAAAATTTAATGCAAGGATATTGCATCCTTCTATCCTTATTATAAAGACTTTAAATTATAAAATTTAAGATCTCTAACTCATTATAAAATTTTCTAACTAATTAATCAAAATTTTTTAACTAATAATTTTTAGAAAAAATAACATAACAATACCTTTTAGAGTATTAACATGATAAATGGATAATTGTGTAAGATTTTAACCTATCAAAATCGTTACAAGAATTGTCAAAATCATAACATGTATTTTTCGGTCATTTTTCCTAATTTTTATTAAGAATAATGTTAAAATTTTACCCAAAAAAAACTAATTTTATCAATTTATAATGGTGGCAAAAAAAAAAATGGAGCTTTTTTGTTACAAACTTACAAATATCACTATGGCCCACTCTTTCTTTCAAACTCCAATTCAACCTCTCTCCTTTAAGGAATGTTTGGATGAAACCAAACTATAGTTTGAAGAATAGCTTCTGAAAAATAGATTTTGTGAAAAAGTGATTATGAGAAGTGAGAGTGTTTAGATAGTTGTTATCGGAAACATTTTTTACATGTGCAAATTACTAAAAAAGGCATAAGTTAATATGATAATTATATAATGGATAGATTTATAATATATTTTAATTTCAAGAAATAAAATTGTTAATAAAATGTTTTTTACTAACATAATTAATAATATATAAGATAATATAATTAATAAATAATTAATATGTATATATATTTATAAATTATAAGATTAAATAGCGAAAGACCGAGTATAGAATGAAGAGTGAGGCATCAATTATAGGGGCTGTTTTATTATATGCTATTGGGCCCACTTGAGCCAAAAGCAACTTCAAACCATTTCCACCAAAACCATGGTTTTGGGGTTCAAAACTATGATTTTACTCCAAGCCATGGTTTCACATTTTTCCTTCCTATTTGGCTGACTTTTTCCCTATTCCAAACCATGGTTTGAAGAGACATCCAAACAGGTCCTTAGTCTCTTATTAAATACTAATTTATGAAAAATAAAAAAATAAGATAAATTAATTATTATTTACAAAAAAATTGTATTAGTTTTTCTAAAATATCATATTTTATTATTTGTAATCTTGTTTGTGTAATTAACAAAAATAGTTTAAGAAAATAATTATAAATTTAAAAATATATTAAAATAATTAAAACAAATCTTTTAACTAACTATTACCGTCAATGAGTATTTTGCAGCTCGGGTTTTAAGGGGGTGTTTGGATAGAAACCAAACCATGGTTTCAGAAGTGCTTTTACGGATTACGAAGTAAATATGTGGAGGAGGTTACCTCGTTTTGCGGAAAAGTGATTCTGAAAGCTAGGTTTTGGTTTTGCCAAACACCCCCTAAGAAGAACAACAGGTTATAACGCGGAGGTGAATGAAATTGCTGCCCTTTTCATACATTTTCTCTTAAGCCCACCATCCGATACTCTTTTAATCCGAGCATTGGATGAGGATTTCTCTTTCGTGAGGATTAGATTAGGAAAAATAACAAATAAAAAAGGCTGAATATATGAAATTTCAATTTAAGAAGTTAAGGATTGCGAATTACAGAGAAGGTATTTCTAAATTAGAATTTTAAAATTTAATGAAATGATTTTTTTTTGTTCTTTTAAAAAAAGTTCAATCCCTCGCCAGCGGGTTGCCAGCACCGGCCACTGGTGGAATTTTTTTTTTGTCACAGTTTTTTTTTTGCCATGACCAAAAAAAATTCCACTAGCAGCCACCACACCGGTGGCCGACGCCGACAGTACTGGCTGGCCACTAGTGAGGGGTTAAGCCTTTTTTAAAATGAAAAAACATAAAAGGTATTTTTGTCATTTTATTAAATTTTAAAATTTTAATTTGGAATAACTTCCTTCTCTTGGATTCACAATCCTTAGCTTTTCAAATTAGGATTTCATATATTCAGCCTTCTTTATTTATCATTTTTCCATTAGATTATTACTTTTTAACTTTATTTTATTTTATTTTGCCTACCAAATGACCTATAGACTTGCTAATAATTTAAGAGTAATTTCATCTAACAAATCTTATACTACCTCCAGTCCTTATTATAAGATTTTATTTGAGTGTTATTTTAGTCATAAATATAAAATCCCGATTCATTTTGTCTCTCGTATTTATATTTTTTTACCAAGTCGATCCTTCTAATAATAATAGTTTTAGGTAATACACTTGATTAATAAGGATATTTTAGGAAAGATAATACTTATTTATTACAAATAACTAACTTAACTTATTTTCTCAATCTCTTCAAATTAATCTCTTTAAATTAGTCAACTAACTCTTATAATTAGGACCGGAGGTAATATATTCAGTTTGCCAAAAAATATTCCGACATATCATTGTAGTATTGAAAAGGAAATCAAGTTATTACCAATATATATAAATAGTAAGTCTAAGAAAATGTAACAATTAATTGGTGTAATTATAGATTTAAAAAAAAATTAAGTGAATGTTATAGAATATAAATCTTGGCTGTCCTCTTGGTTTAGTAAATGTTACTAAATATTATTAGACTATGTGAAAAAGTTAATATAAATTTTGGTCTTTTAAGTTTGTCTTTAATTTGGTTTTAATCTTTCAAATTTTAAACTATAGGTTTTAGTCATTCAATTTTTTTTATTTAAAATTTAATCCTTATAACTCAATAAAAACTAGAATTATTTTACCCATAAAAATATCAAAACCTATTATTTAAAATTTGAGGAGTCAAAACTAAAATAAAAACAAATTTAAAAGATTAAAAATTATATCAACCCTATATGAAATGTAAATCTTGTATGAGAATGTGGCTGCATCTAAACAAATACACAAAAGGACTCTCATGCTCCCCCGAGATACGAACTGCAGAGAACAAGTCTTCGTCCGGTTCCATGTACAGGATCCTAACCCACACCTGTTCCATCTCTTTATCACACACACACACACATCAATCTATAGTTCTATACACAAACACCCACACACACTTGCCACTTGCTGCTTACATTCAACACACATGAAACATTAACCAAACTAAATTGGTATATTATTTCTGATTTATGATGGTAAATATAAAAGTTAGTTGACTAATTTAAAGAGATTAAAAAAAATTAAGTTAGTTATTTATAATAAATATGTGTTATTTTTTTTAAAATTTGACTAGAATTACTATTATTTAAAAAATTATCATTAAAAAAAAATACAAATATAAAAGAGAAAATTTATTAAAATCTTATAGTTAGGATCAAAATAAAAATCAAATAAAATTTTATATTAAAGATTAAAATAATACTTAGTACACACTCCGTCTATCTCTCTCTATATATATACCTGCAACTGCCTAATTAATCTTAAAATTAAAACAAAAAATCAATGTCTGATAGAAATTAACGTGACACAGTAATCGGCCGCAGCTACGGTATATAGATTGATAGTTGAAGCTTAAAAACAGAACCTGAGAGCTTAAATACAAACGCCCGGCTACTTCCTTTTCCTGATACAGTGATTTTTCCTCACCTTGTCAACTATGAATGTCGCCATCTCTTTCTTCCCCACCTTTTTCTCCGCAATCTCCTTTTCTTTGGTTGTCGCCGCCGCTGCTACGTCCTCTTTCACCAGCTGGCTTCCTTTGCTGTCCCCCCATGGACTCCCTATAGGCTGACTTGGCCCGGTTGAAGCATCAGAAGCCATAGAGTCATCGCTTTCTTCATCTTCTGCACCAGCGCCACCTTTCCTGTCTTCTCCTCCTTCCTCATCATCATCATCACTGTGATCACCGTCATCATCGTGCGTGGGGGAGCCCAGATATATGGTCCATCCAGATTCACAGCTGTGACATTCTTCTGCAGCTCCTACCATCTGGGAATGGGATGGCTCCATCTGGTTACGAGATCAACAAAACCAGCTGAGAAAAGTCTGTTCGTTAGTCTGAGATCCGTGAGAACCATTTTTCTTAAATAAGAAGAGCGGTAGCGACTTTTTCTAGCTACACTCCATGATTATATTATTTATCACTTTCATCATTTTCTCTGATCTCAACCAGAAAAGATGCGCCCAGATCGCAGTTCAACATAAAGCCACTTAAGATGTCACAATCTCTTTTAATGCACCAACCTGGAAATCTAGACTCCCGGCCTATTAATTTTTTCCTGACTTGATGAACATCACTGAGCAGCTAGCTAGCAGAAGACAGCTAGAAACTGTCGATGAAAGTGAAATCAAATAACCGAGATATCTCGTTACAAAGAGCATTTTCTGGAATTTGAAATAAATGAGGGACATGTGGAGGTGCCTCGATCACTGAGTTTTTCGTGAGGGGAAGCTGCAATCATCATTATTTTTTCTGCATCGGTAATTAAGATGGAGGACATGCTTTAAATGCAAAGAACAGATTGGCAGAGACCATACCATACGGAACTGGAGAGAATATAAGACCCTTGCTTCAAAAAGCACATTCAACACCTGATATGGCTTTATCGATAGCAACTTCACCTTCCTCGACGGCTTTTTCAATTCTGGAAATCTGCAGAATCCAAAACAGGATATTAATTAAAGCCTGGCTGGCTCAGCTGGTTTTATGCAGCTCTATGTATCCTCCTCAATTGCTTGTACTGTTTTCCGCGTTACTTGGTAGTGACTAGTGATCACATCAAAGCTTTTCTTTTCAAGGAACGCACATAGGCAGCGGACGAATTTGATTCAAGCTTTTATCAAGTCCTAGACATGTAGGTTTTAAATGCGGTGTGAAATTGTTTTGTATGACAGTTATTGAATGGCCACGACGCGCGTGGTAAGTTCCCCAGAGTTTATTTGATTTGGAGGATTTACTGATGTTTGGGTCAAGTTGGTCAGGACCACAAGGCCACAAGGGTATCAAATCTGTACCACTACTTCATTCTCAAAACTCGAATTTAAGATCTCTAGTTACGCTTGCACAGTACTTGCCAGTATTAGGCACAATAAAAGAATTAGCAGACAAATTCTTTTAAATATAAGGTATGTTTTAAATATTTGAAAGACAGATTTTTTTTTTTTTTTACTAATATAAGCTGGTCTTCATATGAGCATAGGTAGAGTGTAAGGATTAAATTTACTGAATATATTATTTGTTACGATGAGATGCCTTCACAGTGAACAAGTTAGAAAGTTTGTTTTGGTAATTTGCAGTGGGTTGGAAGTGGGCGAGGCCCTCCATTGGATAGGGCCGTAATATATGGGGTCAAATAATTTTGCGTACATATTGTTCGCTCTCTTACCGATTGAGCAGAATACTCTGGGCAAAAAAAGAGAAAAGGATATAAATATATTATTGATTTATTAAATTAAAATATTTATTTTATTAGCTGACAATTGTTATGCCTAGTAGCTGACATTAAATTATATGGGAATTGAAACACTACATTAATATAATTTTCTTTGATGTTCAATTCGTTGGTAGATAATGTTAAATTAACTATTGCGACATATTTTAGAAATTGTATGTTCTTTATTTTCCCCCCCAAATTCACATCATCATGCATAACTCGTTGTCTTATACGGTGTAAGAATTTCGTTAAATATTATTAATAATAAACATAAAAAATAAAAGCCTTATAATTTTATACATAAATGCTCTATCTATCCACTTCTATAGATTACACCTAAATTAAGAGTTAATGTGTAAATTTGTCTCAAAAAATTTTTACTCAGGAGCATTGGGCACTTAAAAAAATTTTTTGTGCAAATTTGTCCCAAAAGTTTAAAATTGTAATACTAATGATTATAATTAAAAAAATAATATGAACTATTAAAATAGTGACATTGACAGTTAACATTTTTAATAATAACTTTACCATGATTTTAAATTTTCAGAGCAAATTTTAATAAACCAAACAAGGGAATGGATTTAAATCTGTCATAGGCTCACACCAAACATACCTCTAGCCTATGTTTGGTAAGAGGAAAAATGAGGAAAAGGGAAGAGAAGAAAAATTTTATCGGGTTCCATTTGAAAAATTGGAGAAGTGGAATTATAAAATCTTAATAAAAATAATATGTAGGATAAAAGAATAAGAAAAAAATAATTACCGCTTCTTTGATTTTTCAAATCAACCTCATAAAATTTTTTTCTCATCATTACCAACCAAACAGATCTGAGAAGCCAAGTGGGAGAAGCTTCTAATTTGAGGGAATGAGGAAGCAACCCCACACAACATGCACGCAGAATAATGCGTAGTTAGCTAAGAGGACACCAATGGTCTCCACCAATATATATATTCTGATATTCTCGATCACATTTTCCCTCTCTTTTGCTTCTATATATATATATTCCTATTTCCTAATCCCTCGTGCCCACCTCTCTCCTACGCACATCGGACGAATTAAGAATATGTGAAAAATACCCTCACACCCCACAAACAACTCAACAAAAACTCACATTCTTCATGCTTTTAAAAATTAAGAGACGGAACGGGAGGTTTGATTATAAGTACACAAAGCCATATTGAATAACGTAACACGTCAGTGAATTGATTTCATGTAATTGCAATCTCCCATACATTCATGCATGGCAATAAAAATGGAAATCAAAATGATCTCATGGAATGGCTTCATGAGTATATATTTGGTATATATGTCAAGTAAAAGCATGCACATTTATGTTTATAAGTTAGATAATACTCCCTCTAAGTCACCATTACCTGCCTCGATCGCCAAGATTAAAAAATAATTTAAAACAATTCAAACTATTAAATTTGTCAACAAATAGTGTTATATTGATCTTCAAAAATACTCCCATTTAATGATTAAAATGCCACCATTAATTAGATTGAATAGGTTTTCTCTTATTTTTTGAAATCTAATTACTAGCAGAGTAGTCATTGAGGACATTGTCGGAACAAAAATTTTATTCCTCTCTACATTTCGATAGGTGACTTATTTGGACCGCCATCCTCTTTTTTCTCAGGAGAAACGACTGGGTTCCCCCAAAATAAATCATGTAATCACTTAAAAATACTAATAACAACTTAACAGCATCACTTAATAATTACGAGTACATGATTTTTTTTAGTAATTATATTTATTTTTTAGGACTACACAATAAATTTCCTTTTTCCATCATTGGGGTAAAATATTTTTTAATCTATTCAATCAGAATACAGTAAAATATTGAATTTCATTTTATTGAATTATGAAAATATTTTTAAAATTTTAAATAAATAATTTTTATTTACCACCGATAGAATGAAAAACGTAAATATTCATTATTTCCAAAATATTCTGCTAATAAAAATGTTAAATTTTATTTTTCTTATAGCGTATTACTCGTATAGAATTTGATATGCGCTTAGAAAAGAGAAAATATTGTCATTTTAATTTGCGAGAGATAATTTATATTTTATGTTAACTACAAATGATTGAGGGCGTTATAAGAAGGATATCGATATAAGACAATAATAAAAACGTTTTTTTATTCATGAATGAGAGTTTCTTTATGCATGTATGTATGATTGTATATCGTAGGTGCACATGTACAATTCATACCAACTTAATTATTGTCAAATCTATCATTTATGAGACTAAATTAAGCTAAGGTTTAATTTAATTACAGCACTACAGGCAAAAAAAAGTTAATTACAGTATTAGAGTTGTACGGGCCTTGAAATGACAGTCGGATCATCCTAGAGAAGTCACGAAGATCTTACATTGGTAAGGCACCAAATAGATTTAAAGGAGATATTAGTGACAGGCGAAATCGATTTATATTATTTACAAGTTAAATTTGCATACTAACACTGCCAAATATTCGTATTTAGAAAGTTAAAGTTATAATTATGAAATTTTTTGAGACTTAATTATTACTATTACATAAACTTTCGGAGACCTACCCATAACTAATATTCTTACTTAGAACATGGTTAATTTTCCTTAGATTTAATTCGAAAGGAGACATTTTAGTTTATATAATAGTAATATAGGCTGATGGAATAATAAAGTTGTAATAAAGTTATAAAATGAGATGCGGTATAATTTGAATAATTTATTTCCAGCTTACACTTAAAAAGAAAGCCTAATTCCAAAAGAATAACCTATTAGGAGGGAGATTATTTTAAACTTGGTAAACACTACACTACTTATGAAGCACCTCAATGTGGGACTTATAATAAAGCATTCCCTCAAGAGCCGATGTCCCCAACAGTTCCGTTTTACGGTACTTCACTCAGTCTTTTTACTGGTCAAAATCCTCCGCAAGTCAACTCTCAATAAAAACACTAATGTGATAAGTATAAACTTATAAGGAGAGTACAATTTTAAAAGACTAACCTATTAGGAGGAATAACCTTTTGAATTTTTAAACTCTACCACACTTGTAAAGCTCCCAACGCGTAACTCATAACATTATTTGTCTTGTAGCTAAGAATAGAAGAGAGAGAGACTACATTTAAATTTAAAAAGAAAGAAAGCTGTGAAGAAAACCTGCGAATCGTATTCGTATTAGCCGGAAATGGCAGTCGAAAACGTAGTGGCAGGCCGATTCAGACTAAAAGGAACACAGGAGAGAGAGAGAAATAAATGTGGGTAATTTTGGTGCTCATCGAAACTGGCTATTGATGAAGCGTGGAATAAGCCTAAGGCTAAGGTTGGAGATAGAAAATCCAATATAATAGAAATCCCACAGTACAAGAACATAACGGCCATGCGTGCTTAATTTAATAATAATAATGCTAGCTTAGTATCTGACAAGGAGGGACTGGCCTCGCTATTACACGTACGTACGTTTTCTTAAGGAATGGAGATTTGAATTTATATAGAAAGTGACTTTTTGATGATCAAACATCCATTTCTTATACTTCTATATATTACAGATAACACAAAATTAAGATCCATCATCCCACACACGCACACACGCACCAGTCTTATCTTTTTTAATTGTCACTTGTACCTTTTTTAGTGCTTCATTTCTAATTCTGTCCCTACTAAATAAAGGAGCAAAGGTGAAAAGGGAGAGAGAGAATGTGTGAGAAAAATATATACTGGCATTTAATATGGATAAAAATAAAAGATTTTATATATTTAATGATCTCTATGGTATGTGAGGAACTACTAAAAGTAACAATTAAAAAGAACCATAGTGGTATAGTACTCTCCTGTCTCTTATTATAAGATCTAATTTTTTGAATTGGTTTGTCACTATTTATAATATCCTTTTTGGGTTTGTCTAAACAATAAATGTATTTTTACCTATTTTACTCCTAATTAATATACTCTCTCTCATTGTCTTTCTCCCATAAATTCTCTCCCATTTTTTAACTCACACCTATCCACTTATAAATAAGGGCAAGGGTGTATTTGGAAAAAAAAGGGTACATTTCCAAAATATTTATTTGTTTTAACTAATTTTAACAGTTTTCTTAAACTACATAATATAGTTAAGTGAATCTTATAATAACGGACCGAGAGAGT